CACACACACACACACACACACACACACACACACACACACACACACACGTAATAATAATGAGGTTAAAAGTAATAACAATAAGAAATTAAAGGTATTGCATTAAGAGATATTAGGGTTCCTTGTAACTATGAACAGTCTACACCCTTATATTAAATACATAAGTTACTTAGATCAGAATGTAGCACTTTTTCTGTTAAAAAAATTAGAGTGTAAACACTTCAGGCTTCATGGATGAAGAAGCAAAACTGAAATATTATCCACACATGAAAGACAAAACTTTCCATAACTAATTATTGATGAATTTCAAATACAGTCATAAGTACCATTTTTATTCATGAAAATGACAGAATTATTTTAAGGTAAGATATTATTTCGATTGATTGTGGTTCAACTTATGGCTTATCATCTTCAGGCCAATTTCAAATGTTCATCTCTAAATTCACTCTTGGTTCATGGGCTACGTGAAATAGGTACCAGATGATATTTAGCCCAGTCACTCACTGCCTTTTATGATTAAATGCAGACAATTCCTTTTAAGCTAAATTGCTAAATAAATAAATAAACTTGTATACTACTGAGTGTTTAGTTTAGTGGTTCAACACATGCTTAGCATTCATGAGGCTCAGGATGAAAAAAAGTGTATAAATCCCTTTTCAAAATAATGATATTATTATTCTTTGTCTAATAGAAAAATGCCAGAGTAACAAATTAATGTATATCAGGCTAACATAAAACCGATCGGAATCCAACTCTTGATTCTTATCTATCCAGTCATACATTCGCCTTACTTGTGGAAAAGCCTATGAATATGTCATCCTATCATTGGTCACTGAGTACTTTGTTATGTTATAAGCACTTTGTCATTAGCCCATTTAGAGAGGACAATGAAATTTAGAAGCATTACATGCTTGTACAAAGTCTTCCCTTTTGGATTTTAAAGTAGTTCTATTAGGCTTTGTATTACTCTAAAGACAGTTGCAGAAATCAAGGGAGTGTCTTGTCTTTTGTCAAATCAACTTGATAAGTGATTCAATTAGACACTGGTGTTTATCAAAAAAGTTACTGACTGGCCTACTTTGTTGAGGAAACACATAGAGGAGAGAGTATCTTTGTTATCCCCAACTTTCTGTCTGTAGTGACTAGAATTATTGTCACATTCTAATCCCTGAGATCCTGCCATTACACAGCAAAAAGAACTTTGCAGATGTAATTAAGGATAAGGATCTGAAAATAGGGAGCTTATCCTGGATTATCCAGGTAGGCTGATATAGTCACATGAGCCCTTAAGAGCAGGCAACCTTTTTCAGCTAGAATGAATAGATGAAACAGAGGACTAGAGGTCATAATAGATACTTGCAGATGTGAAGTCAGGAAGATTGGACGGGTGAGGAGGAATTCACACACTGCTACTGACTCTTAGATGGAGAGGCCAGTGTTCAGAGAGGTCAGAACCCACAGGAAATGAATTCAACCATAACATGGTGGTACAATAATTGCAATAATGCATATTCCTACAGACTGTCCCTTCTCTTCCCATCATTTCTCACTCACTGCCTGTTCAGGAAGTAAACTTTCAAACCATTCGAGTGAGAACCATACACTGACATGTTCCTAACTGCTGACAGATAAAGGCTCAAAAAACAAAGATAACCACTGACTGAAGGTCATTTCAGAGAAACTTGTAAAGCTTCAACAAGCGTTGATAAAGCATCCTATCTCACATATATGAACTACTCATTCGTGACCCCTATCCAATCCTCAGAGTTGCTGTTTATTCTTGGGTCCACTTGGAGCCTTAATTGTCCCAGGAAGTGAGGTTAAGTATCTGTACCAGCAGGTCCTATCAGTTGTTGATGTTTTTGTTTCTTCTGTTTGTTTAGAAACAATGTCAATCCATCTGTGAAATATTTTGTGCATCTCCTTTATTATTTCCAAGTTTGTTATATATTCAGTTTTACTATTCTCTGAGGTAAACTTTGAATTTCTGTTTAGAAATAATTTCTTCTTCTCCCGTTAAGATATGGAATCTAAATTCAGTTCCTTTCTATGATGGACTAATCTTGCTGATTCACTGTTAAAGAAAGTGATGAAATGAAGCTGGGAAAGAGCTGTTAGAGTGTTTGCCTCACATGCAGGAAGCACTGGGTTCCATCCCTAGCCCAGCATAGGCTGGACATGGCGGCATACATTTATAATCCAAGGCACTTAGAAGGTAGAGCCCAGGGGATAATCCTCAACTACATACCAAGTTTGATGTCAGGCTGAAATACATGAGACCCTGTCTCAAAAAATAAAGAAATAAAATGAACAATATTTATTTTTTTAAACGATTCTTAGGGACTTCCAAGAGCAATACACTGATACACAAAAGAACAGCCACTCTCCTTTCTTCCCTCCCCTCTCTCAAGAAATCTTCTATTCGACTTTCTTCATCAGCCAAAACTCTGTTATGAAGTTTCACGTATAGATGGGCCGTACATAGGTGTTCTAGCCAATTAGCATCAATGAGTAGGAAATATATCAATTAGTAGGCAAAGCGCCAATATAAGAGAACAGACCCAGAAACTATCTTACTGCAGTTACATAAAAGACCATGCACAATAACCTCAGAGTTAAGCCTAGTAATCACCCCTAGAATCAGAATATGTAAAAGTTAAATGATTATCATTGCTTTGAGCACCTGATATGGGGGATGATTTGTTATGCAACAACAAATAAGTGAAATGTGGAAAAGTTGACTCTCCACAGATTAAGTCTTACCTAAGAGGCTGAATTTTCCCAGAAAACAGTTTTATGTGCCAATATGATGGATCTTAAAAATGTATTTCCAACTGTCTACTCCTCTTAGGTGTGTCTGCTTATTTTTATTCTCGGGCTTTCAGGTGTGCCATTAAGTTGCTTGTATGAGATATCTCAAACTTCTTTCTAAAGGCACTTAGTGTTTTGAACTTTCCTCTTATCACTGCTTCCATTGTGTCCCATAAATTTGGGTAAGTTGTGCCTTCATTTTCATTGAATTTTATGAAGTCTCTAATTTCTTTTTTTTTTAAATTTCTGCCCTGATCCTATCGTTGAGTTGAGAGTTGTTTAGTTCCCATGCATTTGTTGGCTTTTTGTTATTTCTGCTGTTGTTGAGATCTAGTTTTAGGCCATGGTGGTCAGATAGGATAGAATAAATTATTTCAATCTTCTTGTATCTGTTAAGGCTTGCTTTGTGCTGGACTTTATGGTCAATTTTGGAGAAGGTTCCATGGGATGTTTTTGGGTAGGGTGCAGGGAATCTTGTGAAAGAAGGGGGGATAGAAACTCCTGGAGGAATTAGGAGCTCCAAAAGGAGACCAACAGAGCCAAAAACTGAGCCCTGGGGGCCCTGCAGAGACTGATACCCCAACCAAGGACAGTGCATGGAGAGGACCTAAAAACCCTGGCTCATATGTAGCCAATAGTCTCAGTATCCAAGTGGAGTCCCTAATAATGGGAACAGGGACTGTCTCTGCCATGAACTCAGTGGCTGGCTCTTTGATCACCTCCCCCTGGGTGGAGCACAGCTGTACCAGGATACAGAGGAAGACAATGCAACCAGTCCTAATGAGTCCTTATAAGCTAGGGTCAAATAGAAGGGGGGGGAGGATCTCCTCTTTCAGTGGACTAGGAGAGGGGCATAGGGGGACAAAAGGGAGGGAAGGAGATGAGTGAGGGGGCCACAGCCAGGATACAAATTAAATAAATTATAATAAAAATAATTTAAAAATAAAAAAGGCAAAAAATTATTAAGCAAGAATTCCTTAAAGTCAAGGCTATAAATACTAATTCTTTAATTGGTCACACCTGTCAAAGTTGGCCATTTCTTTATTGCACTTATCTCTAGGATAGTTTATGAGCTAAGACCATGGTCCAAATGGTGTGTTCTGGGCAGAAGATCATTAAATCTATTGTTATATATATGTTAATAAACAAAAATGCCAGTCAGGTACCATAGATTCTTTTTACTACATCT